AAACAGACAAACTCGTCAAAGGTGACGTCCTGGGAGGACAGGACCCGACGCGAGCGAGGGTGGTAAAACTGCCACGGCGGGGCGTCGGTGGGGAAGACCAGGAAGGCGCAGCGGAGAGTGCGAGGAGAGAGCTTGCTCGCGGCGGTATCGGGGACAAGAGAGAGGGCGCCCCAGACCCGAAACGCCGACGTATTGCCAACCTCTCCCGTGCAACGGAGTGTGGGCGAGGTCTCTGGCAAAGAGACACGGGGCCAGAGGTTGAGCTGATGCACGGCGTATCGGACCGCAAACGGCCATAGAAAATGGGGAGCAAGCGCATGGATCATAGAGGTGCGAGCAACCTCCATGACCAAGCCAATGCGACGCTCAGCAATCCCATTTTGCTGCGGAGCGGCCGGAAGCGTGAATGACTGGACGATGCCCTCGTCTCAACAGAACACCGCAAGGAGGCCGGAAGAGAACCCACCGCCCCTGTCAGAGTGCAGACGCAGGCCTGGAAGGTCCCGCCGAAACCGCTCGCGCAGCTGGTGACGAGTAGCGCGGATCCAGGGGATCAGAACATCGCTGACGTCCGCCTTGCTGCGCAAGGGGAAGACCGTGGTGTAGCGCGTGTAGTCGTCGACAACCAGCTGGAAGTAGCGCTCCTGGTCCGTCCTATGGACGGGGGCCGGGCCCCACACGTCCATGTGGAGAGTCTGCAGAGGAGCAGTGGTCGGAGGAAACGAGGAGGAGTGAGGAGCAGCGCACTGCCGCCCCTCGAAGTAGGGAAGGCACGGCGAGGCAAGCGAGCGCGGGAGGGGGGGCAGGGACCTGGGAAGGCCAGAGACAAGGAGACGAGAGTGCATGCTGCGTAGACACGGCAGAGAGGGGTGACCGAGGCGTTGGTGCCAGAGGAGAGTCTGGTGGGAGTGTACCCGACACGAGCACGATGCAGCGAGCTGACCAGACGCAGACACCTGACTCGACGCAGCCACCTGACCTGACTCAGCCACCTGAGCAGACGCAGTGGTCAAGGTGTACAGACTGGACCTAGGTTGTCGAGTGAACGTAGCAAGGTGACGGCCAGTCCGGGAGCACGTACAGATCAACACACGCTGCCCTCACGGAGTAAAGGTATCAACCAATGCATCCTGAAGGACTGCGTTGCTCACCAAGTTCGTCGAGAACGAGGGGAGGTGGGGACCTGAAAGAGTTCCGGAGGGGACTGCCGGACACGGGAGGACAGTGGAGGCTCGTGCAACGACGGGGCCCCCAGAGGGTGAGACCGGGACTGGTGCAGCAAGCGGTGCGACTGTGGTGCAATCACGAAAGAAGCAACGAGACGCACCAGAGTCAAGTGTGAAAGTGTGCAAGGCCTCAACTGAGGCAGCAGACTCACTAGCACCTGTGGCAGCAGACGCACTAGCACCTAGAGCGGCTGCAGACTCACTAGCACCTAGAGCGGCAGCAGACTCACTAGCAGCGCAAGGCACACACGAGTAACAGGCACCCTCAGCACTAATAACGTCCACATACATAGCACAGAGTCCCTTGTTGATAGCAGCAAAGTCAAGAGCAAACACATCTACTCCCTTCGCTATCAATCCCAGCCAGTTGGGGACAGCCTGCTCATCACCGTATTCTGCCACCCAGGCATCCTCGAGACGGCCGAAGCAGCGGTACTCCGTGTGCCCAGTCTTCCCGCAGGTCTCACCCTTCTGGAGGCCCGTGCGCCTGACATAGGAGCATCGAGCAGAGCCCCCAGGGGAACCACGCTGGACAACCCACTCACGAAGATGCTGAGGGGTGGGGTTGTCCGGGAGGCGTGGCAGCTGCGGACCACTCCCATAGCCTCCGCCGCCACGAGCTGAGCCCCCATAGCCTCCACCCCTGCCGGCTCCACCCCGACCGCCTCCACCACCCCCGCCGCCTCCACCACCCCAGCCACCTCCACCACCCCCGCCACCTCCACCACCTCCACCTCCGGTGCCACCTCCACCGCCTCCACCCCCGCCACCACCACCCCCTCTACCACCACCGCTAGCGCCACCCCCACCTCCCTTACCCCCCTTGCCCTTGCCGCTGCGGCGCCTATCACTAGGAGCAGACGCAGCGCCGACTTCCTCAGCACCAAGGAGGTCGACAGCAGTAGCATTGGCAACTGAGGGTATGAGAGGGGAGGGAGCACACCCTTCAAAGAAGGGGGAGCGGGGAGTGCCACGAGAGGCAGCGACAGCGACAGTTGTGGTCTCAGCCTCGAGAATGTACTTCTCCATCGAGGCAAGCGTGAGCTCAGTGGGGTCAAGGGCAAGAAAGTGGTCCCTAACTGTACGGAGGGAGTTCGGGAGGCGGGTGACAAGGAAGTACAGGGTGATATAAAGCAGGGGGGGGGGGGGGGGGGGGGGGGGGAGTTCTCTTTGAGGAAGGCCGGCTTGAGAGCGGCGCGGTAGCGAGTCTCACTAGACCGGAGGTGGGTCATGAGGTCGGCAGCAGTGCGGAAATCCGAGAGCTCAGGAAAGAGGTACGGCAGAATGAGGCGGCCTACGGGAGCAGTAGCTGGGGAGGAGTAACGAGCGACAACTGTGTCATATAGGTCTTTCGCTGTCGTATGCTGGCCAAAATGGGCTCTCTCAGCTAGCGGGAGGTGATTGCGGACAGCAAGGCGGGCAGTAGCGTCACGTGTGAGCCACTTCGACTGATCTGAGCGGTCGGCTGTAGCAGGTGGGGCGAGGAGGGATCCGGACGTAGGTTCTATCACTGAAACTCCATCCCTAGCCTTGCTCGGCAGGAACAGCTGGAGATCGTCGAGCCAAACGTCAAAGCTAATCGGGCGACCCTCCGCATCAAAGCTAAGAACCGAGATGGTGGCCATAGTGGCAGGAGCAGCAGCAGCAGCAGTGGTGCCAGCAGTAGCAGTAGCAGCAGCAGCAGCAGCAGCGGCAGCAGTAGCGCCAGCAGCGCAGAATGGAAGTGCGGCTTGGTAGGGGCAGGGCAGCGCGGCTCGGGCAGGGCGGCGCGGCGCGGCGCGGCTCGGCAGGGCACAGTGCAGCAGCGCGTGCGGCAGCAGCAGCCCAGGCGCATCAGCGCGGTTGGCAGCAGCTGCGCAGCAGCAGCAGCGTATGCAGCAGCAGCAACAACGCGTGCGGGTAGGGGCGCTCGCGGGCAGGCAGCAAGCGCGCAGACAGGGGGCAGGGCGCCGGCAGTGCAGGCAGCGCGTGGGCAGTTCGCGGGTGGGGCGAGCAGCGGGCGCAGCGTGCAGGCAGGGTGCGCAGCGAGCACGGGCAGCGCGCTTGCAGGCAGCGCGAGCAGGGCAGCGCGACGCGTGCAGGCAGATGGCGCGCGTGCAGCTGGCATCGCGCTAAGGAAGGCAACGCGCTAGGGCAGGCAGCGCGCGTGGCAGCAGGGCAGCGCGGCGCTTTTCGGGCAGGGCAGGATAGCGCAAGGGCGCTTCGGGCAGGAACGAGCGGAACTGTCGATGGGCCCTAAAAAAAACCTAACAGGTATCCTGCTCTGAAACCATGTCAGAAGTATCTGTGCAGGAATGATGAATGACTAGCCACATGGAGATACAAGTATGAAACCCTAACTGGGGTTGTACCCTATACTGAGCACCTCACTGTAGCCTAGCAGAACTAAGAACATACAAATATGTTTTGACAAGGGGAAGGCATAGGCATGTCAGGGGAAGGCATATGCATGGCTCCGATGTGTTTTTACGCAAACAAGTTTTTCCTTCCATGCGCCCTAACTCATCCCTGTGCCCAGGTGGTGCACGCTGTGGGCCCATGTTCATGCTTCATCCGCTGCCTCTTCCCCCATGTCCCTACTCGCATGCATCTCCTCATGTGTCCCTACTCAGCACATCTCTCCCCCCATGCACCCATGCCCCTGCTGCCAGTTGGGGCACGCCATACAGGCCATGCAGTGTGGTCTCTCCCTTGCATCCGCTCACTCATCCCCAACTGCACCACTCCTCACCACGCCCACTGGCACACCCTCACAAGCCCTGCCGCCCACTCAGCCTGCACACACGGAAGGTTTGTGGTGACTTAAGCCACCTCCCTTCCCTAATGACGTCTCACATGAACACATGCACATGACATGACATGACCTAGGATGCAATCAGTTTTCTGTGTGCATCTGAAGCACTTCTACCAGTATGCATCTGGTCTGAAGCACTTTCGCCCCATTAGGTAGGTTCATCTAGCCATGAGTGTCTGTATGCCCCAATTTAGCACTCAGAGATACGGTTTCAGCAAAAACTGTGCTGTGGAAAAGTCTGCATTGTGGTGATTGTGAGTGCAATGTGCCGCAATGCAAACAGTTTCCAGCCTTGGGGAAATTGGTACAAAACATTTGAGACAACCCAATAGATTACAAGCCTGGAGCAAAAGAAGAGAGCAACTAGCTTCCCTATAGCGTGCGGAACTAGATAAGCGCTAACTACTTGGCCTATCTGCCAACCAACCCTGACGTCGTTGCGTTGCAAGGAAGCATGATTATTACCCCAAGACGATCATCCGTCGATCTTAATTACTCTTCCGGCTGCGACGCGTCGACGCCCTTTCCCTTGTAAAGCCCAACAACCTTGCCCTTTCCGATCGCCATCTTCTTCGACTTCGTCGTCACGTCCACAATCTCATCCTTCCCCACGCTGCGACCATTCACGTCCTTCAGCCCTGACGCCTTCGCGAGGTCGTCCTCGGAGTTGTAGACACCGTCGAGCATCTGCGCGCGAAAGAGCTTGGTGAAAGGGTCGACTTCGCCGCGCCTCATGCCGGATTTCACCATCATGGCGAGCGCGTCCGGGGCTTTGGTAGCAATGACGCTGTCCTAGGGCAGCAGCATGGTCTTGCCGTCGACTTTGTTGAGGAAGTCTTCGTTTGGGTTCCAGTCGGTCTCTGCATCATCGCGACGAAAACAGACGCTGTGTTAAGCCAAAAAGAACATAACGAAATGTGTACCAGAGAACGCAACAAAAAACGGCGTGCATAACTTGCGGGAAATGCAGCAGGGATTACCCAGTTGAGGGATGACGTGGTCGAGGAGCGTGTGGGTGGCGTAATATCGGTTGTTCAGCTTGGAATCCGCAAGCGCGTCTCGAGTCTTCTTTAATTCGTCAATGAAGTCCTCCTTGGTAGGCCGCGCCGCAGCATGCGCCAACAGAGACGCGAGCGTGCAGAGGGCGAGAACGGAAAGCTGCCACGACGCCATGACGCGAATTGAAGGTAATCCTGAAACTACCGTGATTGATCGTGCGAGTGCTGGTTTCAGTCCTCAGCGTTTGCAACGACGAGTGAGAAAATGAATGTGGGAAGAGTGGTGAAGCGCTGGAATTTATGAGTTTGGGAGCATATCACAAGTCGTGCCGATAAACGAAGAAACGCGAGTGGTGACATGCTTTCGCAACCAATAAGAGCAGTAGCCTTGCTAATCGAAAATTCGCCGCCGCGCAGAATGCTTCCCGCCTAAATTCTCGGTGCTGGTCCGTCTGGTGCGGCCAGGGAGTTCTTTGCCTCCATCTGGCACCTTGTTCTTCTGTCAAGTAACTTCATTAAAGTGGGCGAAATCTGCGCGACGGGTGAAGTTGCGAATCCAGGTGTTTAGGGGAGGGGTGTTTCAGGTGTGTCGCGCGAATCTGGGCACGCCAAGCTGGCTTCGCCTGGGAGGTTCGGACAGAACCAATCAATCTGGTGGATCAGAGAGCAGCAACAGAAGAAAATGGTGAACAGTATATTCTATTTCGGCGCCTATGCCGGAACCGCTACATGTTGATCCGCGCATGTACTGCACATGTTCATGTAGGGAATTGATCATATTGGGGCCCCAGAGCTCTAGAAAATTTGCCAACTTGGGGCCTCGTGTGTCGCAAGGAGTCGAACCTGGGCCGGACCTGTGCCCAACCAATTTTGAGCCTCATCCACGCGCTCCGTCAGACCTGACCACACAAGGTGACGAATTCTTCTTTGAAGACCTCGAAAAATTTGACTCGACATTTAAAATTTGACGATTTTTTTTCTCGTGCGTCATGCCTTCAAAAGGGGCCTCAGCTTTAAACATCTTGCCGCACGGTGTTTAGGGTTGATGCTTCCCCAATTATATGCCATCCGAATGGGGTTTTTTTTTTTATCATTGCGATGTTGTTTTTTTGGGTTAAAATATTGTTTTTCTGGGTAATTTACGATGACGAGTCACTAGCGAATTTCGTCAGCCCCAGGGCAGTAGGTTTTTTTTTGTTTTTTTTTTTTTGTTTTGGGACATAATACACTATACAATGCATTACATCCACAGTCGTAACTGGAAAGGGGGGAGAGCGCAGGTCTACCTAATAAGGTCTACACTGCCCTCCCTGTAAGCCCTTTACGGCGGCTTAAAAAAGGTACTGGGTCTCTCCCATATCGAGCTGAAAGCCTTGTTCCACGTCAGATGCTCATCTTGGTCACAAATGCGGCTCAGAGCCACCGCCTCGCCAGTTATCAGGTTTGGCCAGCCACCTCCAGCCCCTCCTCTCTTCTGCCCTCCTTTGCCCCTACACCCTTCACTGTAGATCCGCACATGCCTTCTGAAGTTTGCTCCTATCTTCCGGGCCACACGCTTGGGTTCAAAACATTCCTTCCTGAAGACCGCGTCACATCTCTCCAGCCAAATGTGTCTGAACGTGACCGCGATAAGCGTGGATTCCGGGAAGCCGGAGGCAGTGCTATCTTCAGCAAATAGCAGCTCGCCCAATGTTCCCACCGCCCTCGCTGGATTGATCAGGCGAAATGAGTCTTGAAGCGCGCCACAAATCCCTTTAACCACCGGGCAGCTCATCAAACAGTGTGTAGGCGACTCTTCTTGCCTGCAGTATGGGCAGCATGCACGCGAGCCGAAGAAAGCCAGCCTACTGCCCACTTGCAGGTTGTGACTGTGCAGCCTCAACAGTACTTCTCTTGCTCTGGCTGGGATTGCCAGCGAGTCCCTCTTCGCGATGGCTTTCTCCCAGTCAATATTTCCTCCCCATCTCTCCTCCCATTTTTTCAGCTGCTTAGGCTGTTGTGTCGGCTTTCTGAGCAAGTGTCTCAGCTTCCTCTGTGCCGTTGGTTTGCCCTCCGTACATAGAAACGAGGCCCGTAGGCGTGTCAGCGGGTCTCCCGCTTGCCCCAGCACATAGCCACCGCTGGCCACCATCGGGGTCAGTATACTTAGCAACGATGGCGGCTGAACCACGATCCCCAGCTGCTTTATTTTTCCCTTGCCGTCCACTTCCACCCTCTCGCACTTCAGCTCCTCATTTTCCGCCAGCGCCACTTGTAGATAGCACTGACTCACTCCCACCGTTTTTCCCACTTTGACCAGGGTAGTGGTTTCAGCAATTTCGGCCGCCGACACCTTCGCGAGCAGTTTCTTTTTCCAGCTTTCCGGTACTGCCTTCCAGGCCGCTAGCGCCCATCTCGCCGTGGACGATCTCCCCGTCTGCTTGGTCAGCGTCCATAGGTCTTTCACCTTCCAGCCACCGTCGTATTCCTCTTGAAGTAAGTCTCCCACCTTCATGCCTTTCAAGCACTCTGAGCCTTTTTGTCGCCCAAACGGGCTTTCGCCTTGATAGTGGATCCAGTTGCTGAACCACAATTGCTCCTGTTCCATTTCCCACCTGTCTGCAGGTTCGGCCAGCTTCGGCAGATGCTTTTCCCACATTAACGGCACCAGCGACTTCCAACGCTCACTGCCACCCTTCCACTCTGCCAGGATGGCCTTATGTGCCAACAGCGTTGCCCAACCCAGCGGCATGTTCGCCGCTCTCTCCGTCAGCCACTGCTTCATTGGGTTCCCCTCCATCAGGACTGCCCCAAGATTCCATAACGCTTGGCTATTGATTCTATCGGTTGGACTGATCACCCCCAGTCCCCCTTCTTTCCTTCCCAGGTGTGCCAAGAACTCACTCTAGAGGATGAAATGTTTCTCCTCATCCGCACACCCTTTCGAAATGAGGTTGTGACACAGCTTCAAGATCCTCTTCCAGATCTGCTTCGGCGGCTGATATATCTGCGCCTGAAAAAGGATCACCGGCATCACATATGCGTTCAAGACCGTCACTCTCGCCGATGTGGTCAGATGCAGCTTTTCCCAGTTGCGCAGTATCGTATTGACCCGTATCAACGCTTTATCCCATGTCGGCTCCGCATTCCCATCTGACGTAACCCATATGCCTAACAGCCTCTCCGGTTTGCCTCTCTCTGCCTAGCTGAAGCCCATGTCTGTATGCGGTGGGAGTAATCTGTTCTTCCCCAGCGGCATCACTGTCGACTTCCCTTGGTTAACCTTCAACCCCGACCTTACGCTGAAGTCATCTAACAGCTTCTGTACCTTCCCGAGCTGTTCTTTGCCCTGAAGTATGAGCGTCGTATCATCTGCATAACCCAGGTACGCCAGCTCCCCTTTTCCTCTTTTCCTCAGTCCCAGCTTCCTTCTCTTCGCTTCTTGACTTAGCGGTTCTGCTGCGCAGATGAACATGTTAGAATCACTAGCTAGGGAACGAGGAAAGGTGATGATTAGGTGAAGATTGGGGTACAAGACTAGAGTGTCGAGACTATTTGTGTACCCCCTAAGGCTAGCCCCAATATAGCCTAGATACAATTATGCATATGTTTTGACACACCCCCATAGGCGAAATGGGGGATAGCCAGAGCAAGTAGTGGTCACAAGACCAGTCAGGAAGGGCAAAGCAAGCTCAGGGTGGATCTCGAGGAAACCACACAAATTCCGAGCACAAGCAAGTGGTCATAAGACCAGTTCACATGCAGTTTAATAATATAGCAAGGGGTACAGTGAGCACAACCTAGCAAGTGTAAGTATGCAGGTATATATATAGAGATCACAGTACAAACAGAGTCAAGAAGTAAGCAAGTGAGGCACAGTAGGCACAAGGCCTAGAACAGTACAGAAGCGCTGATGGTCACAAGGCTGAAGCGCCTTGGTGAACACATCAGCAGTGTTGGCCCGAGTGGCCACGTAACGCAGACGAAGCTGACCACGCTGCTGCAGCTCTCGAGCAAGGAAGTACCGTAGAGCGATATGCTTCGTTCTGTGCTCCAGTCTGTGCTCCTCACACAAGGCAATGGTAGCCTTATTGTCGACGTACAGCACTGGAGGAGAACGAGGCCGCTCTCCCAAGTCGGTCAGCAGGTAGGTGAGCCAGCGTAACTCCTGTGCAGCCATGGCTGTGGCGTAGATCTCAGCCTCACAACTGGAGCTGAGAACGGAAGACGAGCGTGTAGAACGCCAAGAAACAGAACCAGAGCCAAGGCTGAAGGTGTAACCCTGAGACGACCGCTGAGTAGCCTGGTCGTCAGCCCAAGAAGCGTCTGAGTGCCCAGTGAGTACAACTCGGTCTCGTCCTCCAAGCACTAGCCCCATGCCCGACGTACTGCACAAGTAACGCAACACCCTCTTAGCGGCATCCATGTGCTCCTTCCGGTGACGACCAGGAGCGACATAGCGTGCAAGGATGCTAAGAGGGTATGCAAGGTCAGGTCGAGTGCAGGTCATCAGGTACATGAGGCAGCCCACAAGCTCTGGATACGGGCCACTCGGCTCTACGGACTCATCCGAAGGCAGAGCTGAGAGCGAGTGACCGGTAGGCAGAGGAGTGGGCTGGGGCGAGGAGTACGTGAAGCGGAAGCGCTGAAGGACCTGCTGCACCATGTGTGACTGAGTCAAGGTGATGGTGCGCCGTGCTCTGTCCCGGGTGATCCGCAAGCCAAGATAGCTTGTCAGTTCACCCAGGTCTGTGCACGTGTGTCTCTTCTGCAGCTCCGACTTCACGTGGGTGAGTGCCGTAGTGTCAGCAGTGGCAAAGACCAAGTCGTCGACGTACACGAGGATGTAGAACGACGGCAGTGAAGTGTCGGTGCGTAGAAACAGCGACGGGTCAGCAGTAGAAGGAGCGAACCCAAGAGCCGCAAGTGTAGTCCTCAGTGTGTCGTGCCACTCACGCGGCGCCTGGCGGAGACCGTAGACTGGCCGTCGGAGGCTCCACTGGGTACCAGGAGGGAACGACCCAGTGAAGCCAGGTGGGCGGCGCAGCCAGATCTCCTCGTGCAGGCTGCCCTGCAAGAAAGCTGTGCTGAAGTCAAGAGAGTGGAGCTCGTAGTCACGCTGAGCGGCGACGTGCAGCAGAACCCGAAGAGTGGTCATCTTCGGGGTCGGGGAGAAGGTCTGGAAGAAGTCAACTC